CACGTTGCCTGTGCCCCCTCCCATAGACTTGTGTGGGAGCTGCTGTCTACCACACTGCCTGGCTGCGTTGTCGGCCACATGCATGTGTGCATGAGCATGTGCACACAGCCCCTTGCAGGCCTCTGCCAGCCTGCAAGGGGAAACCCATGGTTTCCTGGCTTTTTTTTCCTTTAAAGAGGAAAATCTGCATCTTTCCATGGGAAATGGAGAACCTGGATCCCTAATGAAAACTCCTTATACTACATGCCCTGTGCAGGTTCAGTAGGCACTCTGTTTCCCCACTGAACTCCATTTCCAATTGGACTTTGCAGAGGGCATTCTCTGAAGAGGCTTGGGAACAGGGTTGGGTGTCTACAGTCTGGTAAGAGCAAGGAGACTATTCCGTTTCCCCAATCCTTGAAATCTTAAGAGGATGACACTTTTGAGTCCCATTGCCAGACTGGAACCAAGCATAGGAGGACACAAGGCCACCATCTACCATGTGGAACAGATTAAAGAGAAAAGACTTGCTTGCACTAAATGGGTTAATTCTTAGGCCTGTTAGTCAATTGCAGCCTAGTTAAACAACTTTCCTGTGCCTTATGCCTTCTCTATGACACAAGTGAAAATGTATGTCTTGTGCAAGAACTATTTTTAGTGGACTTTCATCTTTCAACAGCACTGAAGCTCTGACATTGGCTTTCCGTCAGCATTACCTTTTAATCAACTTGTGCTTTGATTTCAGATGACGACTACACCAGGGATGATCGTAGGGAGAAGCTATACCTGCAGTTTTACCAACAGATACAGAAAGAATATGATAAAAATAGACCTGCTGACTGTGTCATTGTTGCCATCAGCAAGGAACAAACGTAGGTTTCTATTAACATGTTAAGGCTAATTTTACTCTATAGGTAAGAATTACCCAGCCGTAAGTGCTTTATACCTGGGAACTGAAGGTGTAGGTAATATTGAAGATTAAGCTTAAACTTTTCTTTTTGAAATTCCTTAACGTATTCTGTGTAGTCTGAAAGTACAGACTAAAGTAAATTATACTTCTCTTGGATTGCTGCATATTTAAGAATGCATGGCATCACCTGGAAGAACCTTTTAAAGAAAGTTAACTCATTGACTTCAGTCCTAAACTCATTTTTATAACAATGCTTGAGTCACCTTGGCCCTTGAGTTGTCTTGGCATTTGTTGATGTGTTAAAAATACGTTTTCCTAATTTGAAAAATGTTTTTCTTTACAGCTGCCAAATGAGACCTGCACAAACAAAAGGGAAACCTTGCTATATATAAGATGCTAGCAAATGCGCAAAATAACTTGAAATAGTTTTTTTTTTCTTTTAATTATCATTTAGTTTGTTGGTATTTTCAGCAAAATTTAAATTCAGTATTTAGGAAAAGATGCTGACTTCTAGTATATTTAAGTTTGAAGCAAAATTTGTTTTTATCCTCAATTATTTTTCTTCTCTTCTCGTAAGTATTTCTTTGAAGGTTTGCATTGAAGTATTGCACTTTCTCTTTAAATGCCAGAGCAGTGTTTTAGCAAAAGTGATGTAAAACATTGGAATATTATAAAATGGATATGTAACTAGGTAGGAAGGCTAAATGAGGCTGAAGGCAGGAAAAAAAAATCAGCTAATTAATTTTTATTACTACTGGTATACACCTGGAGATGATGAAGATCAAGCCGAATATCAAAGTCTTAATCATCCTTGATATACAGAGCTTGTTCTTTGCCATAGGGTTGATTTGAGAACCAGGAGGTGCATAAAAGCTCACCTTTTAATTTCTAATGTTTCCATGACATTCAGTATCATTACTTTAAAACTAGATTTATCCTTCCTCTTCCTCCACAGAATGTTTCATATACAGTGTTCCATACAAAAATCACTATCCACATTATTTTTAAATGGCTTAACTATGAGGAAACTTGTAGCTATGATAAACTTCACATGCTTCAGTATCTTGCTCATTTTCTGGTTATGGAATATCAGACTCAGTTGAGGGCAGTTCTGAGGCTGTTTTTCTCCTGAGAATGTTGAATTTTGCTTCTGTGAATACAATATTCGATGCCCATTCTTCCCTCTTCCTCCCCTCTTTCCATCTGACATACTAGTCTTGTTAATACTCAGATATTATTTGGATTACACCAGAGGTCTTGCTCATCTCTTAATTCATGGCATCTTGCCAAGATTTTATGGTGGGTGATCACCTCAGTTGTGGCTGGCAGATGCTCGACCAGTACCCCATGTAGCACAGTGTCATGAATTACTTCTCTGTGAAATATCTGATCTGTATTCAACAGCAGAGAGACTTGTAATCGGGATGGAAACACTATAGCTGATATACCTTTGTCTGCAGAAACAACTTGATCTGTTTGGTTGATTCACCTGAAGTTCAATGATCATGCTTCATTTTAAAAAGAAATGTTTTTCAAGTAGGTTTATGAACTGACTTTTTTTCTCATTGCCAGACATTAGGTTTAATTTGATGCACGCAAAGGCTACATACACATTCAGATAATCTCGTAGAATTCTCCCAGGTTTGTTCTCTTGGTAGACAAAGTTACCCAGAGCCACATATACAGACGTTCAAGTGCTGAGACCCTGAAAAGTGAAGAGCTTGCCGTGCTGACACTATGCAGCTGGAGGGGCCCCTGTGCACACATCTCCATGTGCTCTGTGGCCTGGCAACAAATGGCAGCAGTACAAAGGGGTCAGCCCTGTGTGGCTGACCCAGACTGCCCATGGTCAGCCTGTGTTTCCCTGCAGTACAATGTGGGGATTGTGAAGGGGAACATGTTCTGCTCCTTGCTGGAGTAGCAGAGTCCAGTGACCATCACACTTTCCCTGCTGGGATGCTGGAGGACTGTGTTCTTCTGAGAGAGTTCATGGTATGTACAGACATTCATTCTACCAGGAGAGTGATTTAACCCCGGTTGTTCCCAGGTTATTTTTCTTCTGGAATAGCCATGTTTACCCTGGGAGACAAACCCTGAATATCTGTACACTCATGGTTTCTTCTGGGAGAGCAGTGAATCTCCCAGGAGAAACTGAATGTCTGTATGAAGTTAAAAGTGAACTGTATGTAAGAGCCTCTAATAATTCCAGGGTACTGGAACCTAGTTAGCAGCTCTTTTGATAAGGCAGAATCAAACAGCCACTGCTCTTCTCTTTACCCATGTTGCCTCCAGAGTGCTGGCAGCAACAAAACTTTTTTTTAAACGGTAAAATAAGCTGGTAAGACTCAGAAGACACCTAAGGAGAAATCTACATGTGGTGCCATATTTTCTATCTGTTTTCTGAGCACAGGCACTATTGAACTTAACTCTTGATGCCCCTTCGTTATCATCAACACTTGGAAAAAAACCAAAAACAAACAAAACTACTTAAACTAACTGAAACAATAACACTAATACCTACATAATAGCCTGTACAATTTTGGAAAGAGAAAACTAGTTTCAGTTGAACATGCCTACAGTATACTGGAATGACAGATTAGCAGAAATAAAAAGGTAAATATAAATAGTTTTACTCATTAAAATATTACACTTTCAAGAATACCACTCAATCACATGACTGCAGGGATCCTCAATTTTAAAATTCCTATTTATGGAGAAATCACTTGTTCCCAGTTTGTTATGCCTTAAGAATCCTATTTTCCAAAAATATTGGATGTGCCAAAAAAAATCCCCAATCATGCCCAACAATCATAACTCCTTTCTTCCATTTTAAAAGCAACATCTAATTTTCAGGAATGTGCCATTTGTGGAAAGAGAACAGTTTCTTACACTTCCCTTGTTACCTGTAACATACAGAGCATACAGTACACGAACAAAGAGCATGGCAAAAACTAAGAGCGGCACAGACTTGTATTTGTAAATAACCAGCCTCTTTTTTCTCTTTAAGGGAATATTCAACAGCCATAGGCCATCGGTTGCAGGATCATGGCCTTGTGGTGGAAATGATATACCTTACATCTGAGTTGGGTCTCACACGCGCACTCCAAGAAGTTAAAAATGATGGTTCCCCATTTTGTATTCTTGTTGAACAGTCAAATGTAGCACTTTCCTCTTGCACCGCAATCATGCTTCATGAGTCTATCAAAAGTAAGTTTAGCTTCATTTAGAATGTCACTTAAAATAGTCCCCACTCAAAAATGCGATTTAATTTTCCTTGAACCCATTAAAATATTAAGCACTGATTTATCACAATTTTTGGTAATGGAATTTGACCTAGCTAAAATGAGACAGTTCAGAGAGAGTTCACTAAATTAATTTTGTAGTATTTCACAATACATTAACATTTGTCCTGGACTGTTTGTTACAAAATGGCATTAAATACAGGCAACAAAATCTATTGCATGTAGTAAGTAATGGAGGCTGTTTATATATAAATTACTTGATTAAAAATTCTTATTCTTACATTGTTTGTACATGGGTAGGTCCAATTTAAAATCCATCTTTAAGTCTTCAGTTTTCCAGAATTTTTTATTTTAAATTTAGATTTCACATCTTTCCCCTTATTAGGAACACAGTAGTAAAAAGGCACTTTCTTCTGAATGGAAAGTAACTGCCCTGTCCCTCCACTCAGGTAAAATATGTTCTGAATTTAAGAGAAAAAATTGTGCTAATACTGTTTCTCTTGTTCCAGTTAGGTGCTTGTGCAAGTGTTCAAGCATCAAAAGAGAGTCATTTATTTCAATTTTCAGATCACAAGTGGTCTGAAATCTTTTAATTGGGGTGGTAGCAGTTTTAATACTTATTTAAACAATGTTTCAGATAGCTATATTGAATCAAGCTAACCTCTATAATTACAGTGACATACTGATCTCAAAACAGGAGCCTTTTAAAATTTCACTCAGTTGAATTACACACAAACTTATTTAGCTATATTTTTCTGTGTTTTTTTTTTTTTGTACATGTGTAAAGTAGATGAGAACACAAGACTGATAAAGCAAGCTATCTCTCTTCTCTGTAGTACACCGTAATATGCCCATGGAGGATGCATTGGCTCTGGTAGCTAAAGCATTTGGGAAAATTTTTGCTGAGCGCGAGCAGCAGGAGCGTACCGAGATTTCACACAAAGCAGCTGATCTGGCGGATGACTACCTAGAACGGGAGCTCTATGAGAGTTACAGTGTGCCTCTGGGCATTAGACATCTTCTCTTTCTGTTAAGTGAGGGAAAATATTTATATCGGGAGGAGTTGAACTCAATAAGTGACTACCTGAAGACCAGGAAAGATGAGCTTGAAGGTATTCATGCTTTTTCCCCAAAATACAACTTTAAGCTTCTTTTTAAATCAGTCTGGTACCAGACCAGTTTTTAAGTACATTCCACATAAATAGCCTGCAAATAAATGATAGAGGGTAAAGTACCAAAGTTTGTAAAACATCAATGTATACATTAATGGACATGTATTTGTATTCTAAAATCAGATGTACACACCCTATAAGAAATGGACATACATAAAATGCTTGTATTCAAACCCAATAATGGGCGATCACATTCCCAGAAGATTCACTGTTACAAGTAAGTCTTTGCTGATCTTCTGCTAACACTTTTGTGCATTAAAGTTTCAATAACACGATACACACAAAAACATTTTAAATTAGTCATATTTGAAGAACTAGTAAGCAGATTTTAACATATGATTTAATAAAACCTGTAATTCAGCTGTTACATATTTTACAAGTTATTCACAAAGGTTAAAATTCAATAGAACAACTTCAAAAGATAAACCAAAAACTTCCATAAATTACAGAAAATAAGATCTTTGGGCAGAGTTTCTGGTGTCCTCCTGAGCATAGGAGCAACCTTATAGAAACTTCTTGGATCTCCTTCTATTGAGAGGGAAAGATTCTTGTAAATGTATTGCTCACATATTGTCTTTAACAATGTATTCTTAAGAGTTGCTAATTTTTTTATTTTCTTAAACTAGGCCTTGTTGAACAAACTAATCCTTCCACTGAAGTTGATGACACGCTGTATCAAGCAAATGTGAGGCCAAGTACAAGCACTGCCACCCATACCTTAAGTAAACCTCCTCCTCTTCTTCCAACACCAAGCAGGAAT